GACCCAAACACCTAACATTAGGCCCCACCTCCAACAGTGGCGATCAAATTTCAATATGAGGTCGGAGGGGACAAACATCTAAAACCATAACGCTCTATTTTTAGGGAAGTTCTTCAGGTTATGTTTCTCACTGATGCCAACTCCACCAGAATAAGTTCCTGGTCTTATTTCTGGATCGTGACCTAAAGATCATTACTTGTTACTATAGTATTCAGGGTTAAGGCTTCTTGTTAAACTGGGTTAAATTTTGCATTGTCCTGAGGAAAAAGCAGAAGTGAAAAATAAAGGACTTCTGTTTCCAGGGATTGTTAGCAACATTAAAGAAATTGCCAAAAGATTCTGGCCTGAAGCTAGAGCTAGGATCTACTGAGATATGGAATACAGAGAGTTAGCTGAAGGAACTTTCAATTTCTACTCAACTTTGCTGCGCTGGCTTCCACCTCCAATTTCATCCACTCCCATCATGACCTCTGCTGTGCTGCAATAGTTCATAACTTTAAGAAAAGAGGCAGATAAATACTGGGGACATGAGGCCTCAGGAAAGAATCACTAACCTATTCTCCCCCAAGTATTAGGAACCCAAAGAAAATATCAGTCTTCAGAAGACAAAACAGAGATGCCAGTGCAATCATTAACCCCTTCTTCACTGCTCACCATTCTATTTTCTGAAAGGTAATTCTCAAAAACTACTTATCAGTATTTCACACACTGAATGTGCCGTGTGTATTTGTCCTTATGGGAAATAAAGAGTCAACGAGCCCCATTCCTTCTCTCCAGCTCTGTCCTTCTAGGCTCCCCCCCTCCCTGATCACCTGAGTGCCCCATCTTACATGTTTTGTAAGCTTCCAAGATGTTTTCTGAAAGTTTTCTCTTCTGTCATGGTCACAAACTCCTCATTACTTCGTAGATTCTGCTACTGAACACAGGACTAGATTATCCTTAGGCAGAACATTAAGAATTTACTCCTGTGGTTCTGGTCTCAATTCTTTAAGGCATAGCTTCCAGAATTGAGTCAGACCTAATTCAAAGAAGCTATGGTAGGAAATCTCAGTGACAAAAGAGTTCCTATTCACGTTGAATTCCTGATTCCAGGGAGGACGTTCTTGAGTTTCCCCACAGGGTACTCTTCTGGCTCCAAAGTCTGGCCCTGAAGATATTATCTAGCTCATATTATAACTGCAGGCCAGGAGTGAGCCAGCTTCTAAGACAAGAGATACAGATTTTTAGAAGTATAGCATTATGCATATTGTAGAAATTAAATATCATCCATCCCATGGAGCGATACCATGTACATACTAGCATTCCATATTTCTATTATATACTCCCACTGACCATCCTCTCAGGGAGAGAGATCTTCCCCAGAACTTCCTCTAAAAGTTTCTATTCATGTTCTTACTTTTCTAGTTTTTAAATTACAATTCAGAAACATTTGGGGATTTAAAAAAAAAAAAAAAACAAGTTCAAAAGCCTTGAAACCAATGTCCCCTCTACCTGTGGTAAGTGCTTAATTCCAGTAAAAATCTCATTCATGTTCTACCACAGCCTTATGAAGTACTATTATCCCTATTCAATAGATAATAATACTTAGAGAAGTCATTTGATTATGTCATACTTAATGAGAGAGCTGGAACTTGAATCTAGGCTTTTCTAAGGCCAAGGCCTCTGCTCTTTCCATCTCCCAAACTGCTAGTCACCACTCAATTAGAGATTCAATTTCTAAAGGAATGCAGAAAGGAAAGAATGAAATACTTATGCTGCATTGCAGGATACAGTTGAATATATTTACCAATTTTAGAGGTTCTGTGCTCCTTGTCATTGAGGATTCAAACAGTTATTCCTCCCTTTCTGAGGTTCACAGCTACACAACAGATTCATGAGGAGCAGGAGACTTCAATCTGTCTAGGCAGAAAGGCAGATTCTAGCATCATCTTTTCCTGACACTGCCTCCCTAGCCTTTATTTACTCTCAAAGCTATGAGGAGCTATCTCCACATTTCACTGGCTAGCCTGGAGGCAAACCATGGGAGGGAGAACCCTGGATACTAGTTTCAATGCTGGTGTTATGTAGTGGTGGACCCTGGGCAGGCCCCTTTATTTCTCAGTTTCCTTTTCTGTGAAATGAGGGAGCTGGCCAAGACATGTTGTGGGGAGTCAAGCAATGGGTAAGGACCACAGATCCTCTGACCCATGCCATGTATTCCTTCCCTTCCAAGTCCCTATCCCACACAGTGGGTAATTGCTTCACTCCCAAAGCCCTTTACCATATTAAATTCAACAAACACCATATATCTACGGGCTTCTTTGTACCAAGCACTGTGCTTAACACCTTCACATATTTGGACTTTCTAGTTAGCACTCTCAGTTAAACAAAGAAAATGAAAGAAACAAAAACTTAATATAACCTCCCCAGAATGCTTAGGTGCGCAAAATAAAAGGCCCAGCCAAATTCTGGAACCCTCAGCAGTTTCATGGAAAGAGACTGAAGGAGAATAGGGTCAGTTCTTCACAAGGGTGAAAATCAGGAGCCTACCAAATTCTACCCCAGTAAGTCTACAGCCTCCCACCCATTCCTCATTCATCTATGTCTCATCAGTAAAAAGCACAACAACCTCCTCCCTCAGAGGCAGGCGCCTGCCATACCATTTTGAGGTGGAGCCACCTCTCAGGCTCCAGGACACAGGAAGCCTTGAGACCACATTTCCCACAAGCCACCTCTCAGCTTCTGGTCACAGAACGCCCTTCCCACAGAGGTGCGCATGCTCTGACCGTTCTGCTAGCCAAGCGTGAGCAGTCCGGGAGATTGATGTGTAGAGCAAAGCAGATAAACCCAGTCTTCAAGGGGCAGGAAAGGGGTACGCAACGGAATGGAAAGTTTCTACTTTTACTCACCGTAGGCACTCAGTCTTTCTCCAACATCTCTTGGGGTAGCCCTGTGGCCCTGCAAAATCATTGTGTCCGATGCCCCGGTTCTTGAGGACAGGAGGCTGTGTTCCCTCAGCTTTAGGGCAAAAAGGGGCAGGAGTCCAAGAAACGGGATTTGGTGAAATTACAAGGAAATTATTTGTGCAGTTTACGGAATTTTAGATTAAAGTGTAGTAGCCGGGGAGAAAATTGTGAAACTGATGTTGCAGACCTGAAAACTCCACTCAATTGCCAAAACAACAGTCTAGAGACTGAATCTCTAGTTTCTTCCCATTTCAAATCTGCAAGTCCAGTAGAGGCGCAAATAAGATCTGGCTTTTGCTCTCAAAGAGAGGAAGTAAGGAGGACAATTGAGCAATCGATAAATACTTACTAAACTATTCTGCAGGCAACATGGATGCTGAGGTACAATAATAAATAAAACACTGCCCTTGCTCTCAAGCAGACTATTCTGAGAAGTGATGATTGTTGTGATATGTGATATGGTTATGAAATACAAGGACGCCTAACCCAGATTGTTGAGGTGGAGGAGGAAAGAGTCATGGAAAGCTGCCCAGGGAAAGCGACGGGTGTGAATTAAGTCCTGGAGTGTCCTAGATTTGGAAAAAACTTCAATACTCATCTGCGCACAAAATTAAAGTTCAGATCGATTAAAAAGCTAAATATCTTTCTTAAAAACTAGTAAAAAAAAGATTAAAAGAAAATATGGAATTTTTTTTATGTTCGAGGAAAACAAGTCAAAGGAGAAGACTAATAAAATTGACAACATAAAATTAGGAACTTAGAAATAACAGAAGATGCCATAAACAAGGTTAAGAGACCAAAGAAAAATAAGGAGACACTATCTGTATCATGCATGAAACCAAAACATTAACATCCAAATGTCCAAAGATACCAGGAAACACACCTGTAGGCAAACAGAGTTGGGTCTGTTACTTGTTGCAACAAGAGAGATTGTGCACCAAGGGGAGCCTGTGGGATATTTCAGTAAGAGGGAGTTAAGAGGGGACTCTTTTGGGATTTGGGCTTGTGTTAAAAGTTGGGGAGAGTCTGTCAGGAATCGAGGCAATTCTGTGATGAGATATCTTAATTATTATCTAGTAGGTGGGAGGAATCCAATAGAACTAAAGCTGAAATTGATAAAACTATATCAGGCTCTCCTGTTAGCTGGAAGAAGAGGATGTTTGGTCATTTTTGTGATTTGCACAGTGTTCTTGTTTTTATCTTTGCTCAGATGTGATTAGAGAGTGGACCTATTTTAGTCTTACTCCATCACAAGTCACAGAATAACTTTAATAACCTTGTCTGATGTTGGTGTTCTCTGAAATTGTTTATGTTAAGTAGGGAATAACTGGCCTAGGTTCTAGTTGCAGGCTAACTTCTATCTGACATCTGTCATTTTTCTTTCTCATACAATACATAAAGAGTAAAAAATTAGAAAAGGACAGGAGCAAGAATTCACAAAAGAAGATATAAAAATGATTAGTTAAACACACAAAAAGATGCTCAACTGCACCATTAGTGAAATGCAAATTAAAACAATAAAACACTGTTGACAGTAATTTAAACTAGTCCAGCCTTTTTGGAAGGCAATTTGTCAATGTCTACCAAAATATTAAATGCATATACCCTTCATCCAGAAATTCCATTTCTCAAAATCTCTCCCAGAAAATTATATACACATGTACACAAAGAGGAATATAAAAGGACATACATTGTAGTATGTTTGCAATATTAAAAACTAAAAATCCTAAATAACTGTCAAAGGGGAATAATTAAATAAATTCTGGAATACTGTGAAATAGTTTGATTTTATTTAACTTCCCATTATTTAATTTTTAAAAATATGTAAAAGGTAATATTTATGTCTCTAAATATTTATAGGTCTAAATAACAACACAGGAAAATACTTATGACATAATGTTTGGTAAAGAAAACAGCATTTATATTTGTGCATCAGTATGATTTCAAGTGTTTTTTAAAAAACTACTTGAAGGAAAAAAAGATTTAGAAAATATTCCCAAATGTGAATAGTATATTTGGATGATGGGGCTATGGGTAATTTTTTTCTCCTTTCTAATTCTCCCATTTCCAACTATGATTAATCACCACGCATTTCCATTGAAAATGAACAAGAACATTTTTAAAATGTAGCAGCCTGCATCACATCAGCAGGCACTAATCCAGGCTAGCTGGCCTGGCTAAATGACCATCAAAGAATAGAACCTACACAGAAAAGAGCTCACATGGGAAACAAAATTTTCCAAAAGTAGCCAGTCTCTATGACCCATTTTTAAATTATGCAGTGGCTTGCTATAGACAGTCTGGTTACTCTTACACACAAATGCTGCCATGTTCCAAACTGACATTAGTGCATGTTAACATTGCTTTAAAAGGCCTTTGTTATTTTTAATTACTAAGTCTTGTGAGCATCTGACTCTCTTATTTTAATCCTTGAGACTTACCCCACCCTAAATTTTATCTCAATTCTGAGCTTTGCTGGAGAGGGTCAAGGATTAGGAAAGATTTCAGAAATAAAGTCAGGGAGGACTATATAGTATATTCATAGGATATATAATCTATTCACAATCAAAGTATTTTAAATTTTCCTATAGACTTCACTTTCACTGAAGCATAATTTTCATGTTTTCACTTTCTTCTGGGATATCTCCTTTAATCAGCTCAAATGCTCTATCAGCTCAAAACCAAATATATCACTTCCTCTCAGAATGAGCCATTATTTGCTAATTAATGCAGAACTTTGAAATGAATATGATCAAACCACAGGCCTACCCCATGTCAATGCACAAACAGCCTGGCTGGCTGTTTAAAATTTTGACAAAAGTGTATCCCTCAGTTGCAGATCTCATTTGACATTATTCAAGTAATTTCCACAAAAGTAACTTGATTTCTCTATGTGGTAACTAACTGTATATTACCACTAAATCAAGAATCAGAATATGTTTTAACCCATATAAAATATTAACATGGAAACTATAGTAAAACTTAACTAAATTCTTACACACATCCTTGCACTTTTTAATTCCCAAATATTTCCTAAATGATAAAGACATTGTTCTTAAGACCAAGAATTATTTAATAGTTGAAGCAAAGATAAGGAACATCTATATCTGGGAGTTTTTGTTACACTAACAAGAAAGCCCACATAATAAAATTTCATACCCTCTGTGTTTCCCAGCAATAAATTTTATTTTTGATTTAGCAATTTTACTCTGTTGTCCTTTTAGGATTATTTATGCTTAGTAGAATTATTTATCAGGTCATATTTTTCCTTTTTCACCTAATATAACTTATTTCATACTTCAAAAAATAAATTTGTGATAGTATAATGGGTCTAATAACCAATGATGTCAATAGAATTTGGTTAGAGTTGTACCCTTAATTCTTTTGTTCAATCAATTAAAACACCAATCAGTAGCTGAATTAAGTCTGGGAATCCAAATAAAGAGGCAGTCATTCAATGATGAAGTGTATTCTTCTATTTAGAATGGAAAACTTTCCAAAAAATTATCTGGAGTTTCAGTGGGGAGGGTTTAAGAAGAGGATAGTTTCAAGGACACATGAAATAGAAGAGGGAACCAGGAAAAGGTTATAGTCAAGGCCAGCCTGGGATACTCAAGGTGAATCAATTAAGGATATTAAAAACCCTGTCAACAATACCAACGTGGTAACTTTCCCATTCATTTCACAATCTATATGGATTTGGCCTATAATGCTTTGCAGATAATTAAGATTTCATTTGGTTTGTAAAAAAAAAGTATTAGTCACCTGTCAATAGCACCAGTCACAGGATATATCCTTCACATAGTAGTTTCTTGGGAAGATACGAGATACTTAACTCAATAAAATTTTTTTGCATATCAACTGATTGTGATATTGTATGAAGGCACTCTTTTGTTGATGGCATTATTATGTCTGCTAAATTAATGGCTAGAATAGAAAATTCTGACAGTAGGAAGCATTGTATTTGGATTTCTCATCCAGCATTTTTGAGTGGTGTGAGTTACCAAGGATACCTGCTATGGTCTCATCCAAAAAAACAAAAGAGTCAATGAGATTTCATAAAGGGTTCCTGATTAGGACTCAGTCACTGGGTTGCAGTTAGTGATATGGTTGTACAGACTTCTCTGGGACAGAGGCCTCAATTTATAAGGGCTCAACAACACGAGGTGATATTAACATTTGTCATCTACTAGTTTTTTTAAATCTTGGGGGCAAAAGAAAACAAACTAATGGTCCCTGCCCATGATTATTTTACAAGGGCTTAACACAGTTTTCCTGTTTAGTGTGGCCATCATACTTATTTGGGCAAATGGTCATTTTAAATGTGTAATATGCAGTAGAGCCAATTTTTCCTTAAAAATATGTCTCTTTTCTCAACTCCTCTTACATTTAAAGAATGGCACAAAAATTATATTATATGAAAAAGTGTATGGATTTGTTTTATTGCTTAACCTATGAAATGGGTCCCACTATTACTGGCAATAAAAACAGGCCATCTCCAATGGGGAACAAAGTATTATTTATCTGAAAAGAGAAGAAAGTTTAATCTACCCACAGTGAAATATTATAAAATACAAAATCATAGAAAACTTAGTATCTTAGAATGAGTCTTATACATTTAACAGATACTAGCAATGAAGGGGACAGCAGTGTGTTGGTATAAACTGAACTTCATTTTCCTGAACTCCATTTCCACTTGTCATTCCTATTTCATCTCTGGAAAAAAGTATAGAAACAAAGGCATTGAAGGTGTTATTCTACAGACTCAAAGCCTGGTCAAACCCACTATAATTGACGTGATACAAGTTTCTACATCTTATGTCAGCACTGAGCCTATAAAAAGCCATACCTTCAGAGATTAATATAGTATTAGAAGGAGTAACCTTGAAAACTAATCATTTCTATGTTGTCAAGCCTATGGTCTCCAAACTTCTAGGAGTTCATAAACAGCTTTCAATATTTCAAATGTTCTAAAAGAAATCACATAGCTATTTAAGTCTGAACTTGCCATATAAAATCTTATTTCTTTGTTTTTGGGTGAAATATCAACTCAGAGTGGCAATCATGATTATATATGCTAATCAGAAACCAAAATGTCTTTGGCTAATGAAATATAGAAAGCAAACAGTTTCTTAATAAATATAGTACTTAAAAAGGCAAAACCGGGGAGGAGGATCAAGATGGCAGAGGAGAAACACCGCCAGAAAGAGTGTTTCTGCAGAAAAGACAGATTCTAGCAGAAATTAGAAAAAAGAAGCAAGAAGGCGAGCATACAGCAGATGAGGGCCGGAAGGAGGGGTACCTGAGACCCCAGGAGACTCCACGGGAGGAGGCTGCGGAGGAGAACTGGAAGCTGAGACCGCGGGAGCAGCCCGGAGACCAGCGGGAAGGGTAGGTGGATAAATCACCTTCCCCCTCCCCTGCATTTGGGACTGCTGGTGGGCTCCCCAGCGGGTGGAGAGACCTGCGGACACCAGGCCAGAGACAGCCGCCGCCAGCTAGTGGTGAGCCTAGCGGACACGGCACCAGACTCCCAAATCCCTTGGGGCACCTCCGTGTGCACAGACCCGAGCCGCGCAGCAGGCGCCATATTGCCTCCTTCTCCCCTCCACCGACCCTACCTGCGGCTGCCCAGAGAGACAATACAGCCACCAGCTGGAGGCACCTCCAGGGAACAGGACCTTCCCTTTTGGGACCCTACAGCTGACTAAGGGGAACTCAGACTGTGAGCTCCCTACCCGCCAGCCCTCCCAGGTGCTGCTGGCACGGTGTTCCCAGGAGAACGGTGCCGACTCAGAGGCTGAGAGACACAGACACAGCTTGGGCTCCCTGTGGGTGAATTGGGACTGGAACTCCTCTCCCTGGCAGGGATACAGTTTGAACTCTGGGTCCCAGAGGTCGGACTGCAGACCAGATCCCGTGCACCAGGTCTAGCATTGCCCGGGGCACAGAAGGAATATTTGTGAACAGCCTGTTGAGGTGTGTGTGCCTCCAGGGGCAGATCAGTGTCCTAGAGGGCAAAGGGAGGCTGTGCGCCCAGCCCAGGCAGCATTTCTGCGCAGGGAACCTCCCCGTCCACACCACAATCCGGGGAGGCCTGGTGACGTGTGGTCTGGCCTGCTGGCAGAGGCCCAGGAGTAGCTGCGGAGTTGAGGAGGGTGGAAAGAAGCGAGGCCTGCTCCAGACTGCCGGTCTCAGACAGCCCCACCCCCACAAGCAGACTTTCTGGCTGAACGGGACCATTCCAGGCCCGCCCTGACAGCTTTTCCTGGAAGCAGAGAACAGAACTTTGACCCCTGCTAACGGCATTGGTGGTGCCTGAGGGCAGGCTTACCCAACCCAGCTCCGCCCAGAACAAGAGCTGATAACAGGACACAAAAACAACAGCATAGCCTTGTTCCTCCAAGCAAGCGCCACCTACTGACAGGGAGTGGCATCCTGCACAGCCTTTTCACGGCACCACTGACTCATTATACAGGAGTGGTCAAATCTCACCACAGACACCACCTAACGGCTCAGAAACTAAACAAGGCGTGAATACCCAAACAAAAACCTAAAGAAAGAAACAACAACTGATCGACATGGGAAGAAATCAGCGAAGGAACTCAGGAAATATGAAGAACCAAACGGAAAACACAACCCCAAAGAGGAGCACCACCCCTAGAAACGGACACCAACCAAATCAGGCAACCAAAATGACAGAAGAGAATTTCGTATGTGGTACATAAGAACACTCACCGAGCTGCAACAACAACTCAATAACCAACACAAAGAAACCACAAAAAGTCTCCAGGACCTAGAACAAAAGTTCACTAAAGAAATAGACACAATGTAGAGTCCACTTCAAAAAATAATAAAATAAAAAAAAAAAATCACATGAAGAACTTACTGAACTGGAAATGAAGAATCAATTCAGGGAACTACAAAATACAGTGGAAAGTCTCAAGAACAGGGTAGATCAAACGGAAGAAAGAATCTCAGAGATTGAAGATAACACCCTCCAACTAAATAAAACCATCACAGAGATAGAGCAGAGAAACAAGAGAAAAGAAAAGAGCAAAGCCTACAAGAGATGTGGGATTATGTGAAGAAACTAATGTGAGGGTCATAGGGTTACCAGAGGGGAAGAGGACAACACCCAAGGGTTGGACAAGCTATTTGAAGATATAATAGAGGAAAACTTCCCAGGCCTTGCTCAAAATCTCAATATACAAGTTCAAGAAGCTCAGAGGACCCCTGGGAGATTCAATGCAAACAGGAAGACGTCACGACATGCAGTCATCAGACTGACCAAAATATCAACTAAAGAGTCCCTTCTAAGAGCTGTAAGACAAAAGAAGCAAGTGACATACAAGGGAAAGCCAATTCGAATAACACCAGACTTCTCTAATGAGACTTTACAAGCAAGGAGAGACTGGGGCCCCATTCTCACTCTTCTGAAACAAAACCATGCCCACCCTAGAATCTTATTCCCTGCAAAACTAACCTTCATATATGAAGGAGAAATAAAGACATTCTCAGACAAGCAAAGGCTCAGAGAATTCACCGAGACAAGACCAGCCCTACAAGAAGTACTCAAAACAGTGTTACACACGGAACACCATAATAAAAACTCACGAATATAAAAACAACCAAAACCCAAAGATTAAAGGCCAGATAATGCAATGGCTCAAGAGAGAAATCAAAGCAACAACATCCAACCCAACAGAATGAACAGTAATCTACCTTACCTATCAGTTCTCTCAATAAATGTGAATGGCTTAAACTCTCCACTCAAGAGACATAGGCTGGCTGAATGGATAAGAAAATACAGGGCCAAATATATGCTGTCTTCAGGAAACACATCTAACCTGCAAGGATGCATATAGACTAAAAGTAAAAGGGTGGAGATCAGTATTCTAGGCAAGTGGAAGCCAAAAGAAGGCTGGCGTGGCAGTTCTAATTTCAGATGATTTAGTTTTTAAACAAAAGTAGTGAAAGACAAAGAGGGTCATTATATAATGGTGAAGGGCACAGTTCAACAAGAAGAGATAACAATTTTAAATATATATGCACCCAACTTAGGTGCACCAGTTTCATAAAGTAAACCTTACTGGATCTAAGCAAATGGATTAATAGCAACTCCATAATCACCGGAGATTTCAACACCCCACTGACGGCACAAGACAGATCCTCCAAACAGAAAATTAATAAAGAAATAATGGACTTAAACAAAACCTTGGAACAATTGGGTCTGACTGACATCTACAGGACATTCTACCCAAAATCCACTGAATATACGTTTTTCTCATCAGCTCACGGGACATTCTCTAAGATTGACCATATCCTAGGACACAAAGTAAATCTCAAGAAATTTAAAAAAATAGAAATCATCCCATGTACCTTCTCAGATCAGGGGGATAAAAGTAGAAATCAACCCTAACAGAAACTCACATTTCTACACAAAAACGTGGAAATTAAACAACCTCCTACTAAATGATTACTTTATAAATGAAGAATCAAGATGGAAATAAAAAAATCTATACCCTACATGCTGTGGTGGACTGCAAATTAGTTCAACCTCTGTGGAAAGCAATATGGAGATACCTTAAAGCGATACAAGTGAATCTACCATTTGATCCAGCAATCCCATTGCTGGGCATCTATCCAAAAGATCCAATGACACCTCTACAAAAAAAGACACCTGTGCACTCGAATGTTTATAGCAGCACAATTCATAATTGCAAGGCTGTGGAAACAGCCCAAGTGCCCATCAATCCAAGAATGGATTAATAATGTGGTATATGTATACCATGGAGTACTATTCAGCTCTAAGAAACAATGGTGATATAGCACATCTCATATTTTCCTGGTTAGAGCTGGAACCCATACTATTAAGTGAAGTTTCCCAAGAATGGAAAAACAAGCACCAGCAAATTGGTATTAACTGAACAGCACCTTAGTGGTCACATAGGTACTGCAGTAATAGGGTATTGGGCAGGGGGAAGGGGGGCAGGTATATACATATATAATGAGTGAGATGTGTACCATCTGGGAGATGGTCATGCTGGAGGCTCAGACTTGTGGGGGGAGGGGGGGAAATGGGCATTTATTGAAACCTTAAAATCTGTACCCCCATAATATGCCAAAATAAAAATAAATAAATAAATAATAATAAAAAAAAGCTAATGACTATCAATGAGATGGTTAATAAATGGTTAGAACTGAAAAAAAAAAAAGGGAAAACCTTTCAAAGCATGGGACCCAAGGAAGAAAAATAATAACAGGTTAGGGCTCTTGGTGGTCCAACTGCTATAGTTCAACCTGCCCATTTTGGGGACACCTAGATGGAGAAGGTGAAATGATTTGCCCAAAGTCATTCCCCTAAGGAACACCCAATTCGGCAAAGCTATTTTTCAACTGTAGCACAATACTGTTCTATGCCTGCTTACTCTTTACATCAAAGAAGAACATGAAGCTGGTAGTCAGCCTGATGGTGGAGCGGTGTATTTTTGTAAACTTCAGTTGCTTTCTCTGATGAGTAATCTTAGTCATTATCCTCAGCCAGTTTTCCACTCCTATTAGATAGAAATATTAATCTGTTAATATTTTTTATAAGAACTGCAGTTTTGGCCGGGCACGGTGGCTCACGCCTGTAATCCTAGCACTCTGGGAGGCTGAGGTGGCCAGATTATTCGAGGTCAGGAGTTCGAAACCAGCCTGAGCAAGAGCGAGACCCCCGTCTCTACTATAAATAGAAACAAATTAATTGGCCAACTATATAGAAAAAATTAGCCAGGCATGGTGGCGCATGCCTGTAGTCCCAGCTACTGGGGAGGCTGAGGCAGAAGGATTGCTTGAGCCCAGGAGTTTGAGGTTGCTGTGAGCTAGGCTGACGCCACAGCATTCACTCTAGCCTAGGCAACAAAGTGAGACCCTGTCTCAAAAAAATAAATAAATAAAAGAACTGCAGTTTTGATAAGAATTGCAAGTCAATCACTCCTTTAACACACTGCCTGAAGTTCAGTAAATTCTACTTACCTAATATTATTATTAATAGATATGCCTGGCCGGGCACGGTGCACAGTGGCTCACGCAGGGTGGCTCACGCCTATTATTGGGTATGACCCAATAATCTGTTTAACAAGCCTTTCAGGTGTTTTGAATGCACAGCCAAAGTTTGGGAATTAAGTTCTAACATGACAAAAGTGAAAACTGAAATTCCCCTGAAGATAAGTATACTTATAAGCACTTTGTTATGTTCATTATATGCACGTTTTTAAGGCATAAACTAGCAGTAAACTAGCAGTAATACTGGCAGTTAATTTTAATAACATGGCTAGCCAAAAACTTGCAGATGGGCTGGAGAATGGAGTAAAGAAAAATCCTGAGTGCTCCCAGCCATTCCATAGGCACACCAAACCAAGAACCTGTGGTAGGAAGGATCATCAAAAGAGGGAGGAAACACTTGCAAGCAGGAAGTGTTATTGCAAGTGTTATTCAAAAATCTGAATATGTCTCTACTATGCCATTCTTTCTGACTACATGCCTTGTTTTCTATTCTCTGCCCAGCCTAGTTCTTTGCTTAGCAACTTCTCCTCAATTCCAAGAGTCTCCTCAGGTGTCCACTTGGCCAGTATATTTCAATCCCCAACCTCGCAGAAATAACCCCCTTTCTCTGTGTTCCTTCTGCTCTGTGGCCTTTATCCTAATACACACATTTTGCCCTTTGACTATTCTTCTTTTCTTCTTTTTTTCTCTACTTCTCTCCAGGGGCAGCTGCTGTTTGTGGGCAGGTACTAAAGCGCTCTTTTCTTTTTTCATTTTTTTTATATGAAATAATACTTAAATAACAATGAAACATGAAACACTTAAACTTAGAGAAGTTTAAAAGAAAATAGTCTTGATAATAAAAAGGCAAATTTTAACATACTCCACAAATATTTTATAAATAGAGCTTCCTGTTAGTAGTAAGCTAATTATTTAAGGCTATGCAACTGCATTTTTAAAATTTCAAGATATTAAGGGGTATATTTTTGATACAAGGCTTGAGTCAGGATTAGAAATGTGCCCATCACCGAGTAGTGTTCTTTGTACCCGGTAGTTGGGTTTTTACCACTCCCCTCCTTCTCCCTCCCGGCCCGACCCTCGTTTGATTTCCAACGACTTTTACTTCCTTCTGTGCACTTGGGTGCCCAACCTCTAGTTCCAATTTATTAGAGAGCACATGTGGTGTTTGTTTTTCCATTGTTGAGTACTACTCAGCCATAAAAAAGGATGAATTAATGCCCTTTGCCGCAATTTGCAAGCAACTGTATACCATTATCCTAAAAGGCCCTTTTCAACTTACCCACAGTCTCTGAGGAGCCACTACTACCCTCCGGCCTCGGAAAAAGCAGACGGTGGTGGGCGGGGCCAGGGGAACCGCTGCTCTCATTGGCCAACGTGCACTTCCTGCTGCACGGAGACTCCTGGGAGGAGAGCTCCAGATTTTTTTTTTTTTTCCTTCCTCTTCTCTGGAAGCACTGCAGGGTAATTTCTGGGCTTCGCTGCTTTGGGGCTTGTAGTTTCACTGTGGCAAGGCCCATCCACTGCCTTTCTGCGTTCGCCAGGCAGCTCTGGGAAAGTGGAAGTGCGGTTCTTCTTCTCTGCCTGCTATGAAAAAGATTTCCCAGCCCCGTGAACCATCCTTTTAATTTGGGACTCCCTTGGCCTCCTGAGGGCCCTCCACCTCCCAGGCGGGCTTTCTGAATATGTCTCTCACTGTTGTAAGCCCTCGCTTCTAGAGGTGGGAAAGATTTAAGAATTTTTGAGACTGGTTTGTTTTCAGAAGAGCCGGGGATGGAGGTTTTCTGAAGACGAAGCTTCTCCAGGAATAGAAGAGGCAGAAGGAGACTCATTTATGTGATCAGTGTGGGTAAAGTGAACAGGAGGAAGATAGGATAAGCAGAGGATGTGTTGCCCACTGAGTTTTCTTTGGGGAAATTTCCCTTTAAGAATGAAAAGACCCGTACATTTTTATGACTACTAGAGAAGCAGTCCTCCTCGGAATTTTAACTTAGTTAGTAAAAAATTCTCTTCCTCCCCTCAATTTTCTCTTTTTAAAAAAGGCCTGCCCTAATTTCTTCAGAGTACATGCTTTTATTTTTTAAGGCGTTTGCTCCTTTAGGAATACTCACATTTTATTTCCTTTGTGTATTTTCTACTTTCTATGCAATGCATCTATATTGAATCAGCAAAATAGGATATAAATATTATTTTTAAAATAGTTGGAGTTCAGGAATTACAGACAAAACAGAATTATTTTGTCTCAACATATTCTTTCTTTTTTTTTTAAGGATTCAGGGTAACTTCCTCAATTTTATTCAACAAGAACTGCTGCTATTATTGATGCAAGACAAAGAAACTTGGTAACTGTGTCTTAAGGATTTTAAGGTGAATGGATCATGGAGAAAGGACCCATTTAGGTGAGGAGTATATGAAGAATGATTATATATGCGCAACTAGTGGATTAGGGAAAGTAGCAGCTGTATCTAAAAGTTTATAAAGTGCCAAAATAATAATTCTCAACAAGATAGGCATTTTGCAAAGTGAATTACTTGTAGTTTGGTCCCTGTCTTCTGGAAAGTCATATTTTAGGATCTTAAAATGAAATGTGAGATGAAGAAAGTTTTACCCTTTTCTGGATAATTAAGGCTTTCAGAAATTCAACTTTTTTGCTAATATTTAAAAATATTTTTTCTCTCCTAAAGCTTCATAGAGGCCCTAGAGACTTTTTTAAAAATAAAAAAGATTTTTTAAAACCTTTTGTTTTTAAAAATAGTTAAAAAAATAAATATAAACTATAATTTTAATTTGTTCTTTTGATAGTTGAAGGAAGCAGAATATAAGACAGTAAGTAGGACAGGAACGATGAAGGGGAATGTTTCCTAACTATCCAGTAAGGGAAATTGGAAATGAGTGGCAGAGAAAGAGCATCTCAGTTTTTCTTTTTCTTTTCTTTTTTTTTTTTTGAGACAGTGTCTCACTTTGTTGCCCAGGCTAGAGTGAATGCCCTGGTGTTAGCCTAGCTCACAGCAACCTCAAACTCCTGGGCTCAAGTGATCCTTCTGCCTCAGCCTCCTGAGTAGCTGGGACTACAGGCATGTGCCGCCATGCCCAGCTAATTTTTTGTATGTATATTTTTAGTTGTCCAATTAATTTCTTTCTATATTTAGTAGAGACAGAGTCTCACTCAGGCTGGTTTCAAACTCCTGACCTTGAGCAATCCACCCGCCTCGGCCTCCCAGAGTGCTAGGATTACAGGCGTGAGCCATTGCGCCCAGCCAGTTTTTCTGAAATCTAAGAAATGTGGAAGCTGATAGGTCAACAGGACTCCAGTGTAAGAAGAAAAACTTATCAAATATTTCAGCATCGTAAAATCTTAGTTGTAAAGATTTTCATAAAATCTCCAAAATTTTAAGTTGGAGTTATTCCTTGAGGAATTGGCAGATCACGTCTGCTATTTTTGCTATTTTAGAAGAGCAGTCTGGTTTTTGAAGAACAAAGCTGCTTCTGGTGATGGGGGTGGAGGTTGAAATACATGGGATTTGTTTCCAGGACTTGCTGTAATTTTGTGGCAGTTTGAGCGAGATAAACACTTATCTGGCACAATATATTGATAGAACTCTGTGTTTTTAAGAGTATAATTTCTGAATCAATTTAAGTGCTTTTTAAAGTTAGCTCTTTTATCTGTCCTCAACTAATGCTTAGTCTGCTCAGGACCTTCCCGGTCACCAGATGGGAAATGCAAAGGAGGAAGGGTTAGCTGCTGGGCTGCTGACAAGCTAATCAGAGGACTCAGTGACCTTCAAAGATAAGAACTGGAACTCACCCAGAAGAAGTGGGCTTTACTGGACCCTTCTCAGTGAACAGAAATAGGATGTAGGAGAACTAAGTTTTGTAGCTGGTTTGTGGTTGCAGTGTTGATGAATGATTCAGATTTCTAGCCTAGACTGTGGGTTTATGAATTTATTTCTTTTAGGATTTGTAGAGAAGGTTGTATCTCTCTTCGGCATATTTGTGAATATTAATGTCAAAGGAGACTTTTTGTATAATATCTAGCTATAAGAATAATTTCAGAGATCTTATACATATGATTATGTAGAACTTGTCCTCAGGAATGGGGAAGGTGGCAGAACTGTGTATGGGCTTTCAAACTTCTAGCACATGCATAATCATTTATAAAATGTCACCAAGAAAACACAAATTCAAAAAAAACTTAGTAAGAATTTTAGGACAGCAACTTCATCATTAAAACCCAAGCATGAACACCTGTGGGACTGTGATAGTAAAATGCCTATAAAGCTGGCCTTGCTGATTACATTAAAGGATTTTTCTCCAATGTGAAAGATGAGGGATACCTATTCCTTAGGTGTTTCTGTTGTGTGGTTTCTCTTGTGTAAAATGAAAGGGTCATTCACATTGATGACATTCAGAGTGTTTCTGGTGTGATTGCTCATTAGTTACCTAAGGATAGAGAAATTGCCTCCTACTGATTGGTTACATTCATAAGATTTATGTCCATTGTAAATTCTCTCATGTGTCTCAGGGATGAAAGATCAATAAATGCTTTTCCACATTCATTAAATTCATAGAGATTGTCCTTGTTATGTACCCTTCTTATGCACACTAAGTGAAGAACTACATTGGAAGGATTTTCCATACTGATTACATTCATAGGGCTTTTCTCTAATGTAGTTAGTCATATTTCCTAAGGGTTGAAGTAACACTGAAGGTTTTCCCACAGTCATTGCATTCTATTTTGAATTCCGTTGTACACAATGAGGAGAAAGTTACTCCAGAAGGATTTTCCATATTGATTATAATTATAGAATTTTCTCCAGTGTGAGTTCTCATGTGTACATCAAATGTGAGTGCTTCCTGAATATTTTACCATAATATGACAGTCATAAGATTTCTCCCCAGTGTGAATTCTCATGAGTACAGTGAGAATATAACTTATACTGAAAACCTTTCTGTATCAATCACATTTATAGATATTCTCCCCAGTATGAATTCTCTTTTGCCCACTAAGGAGAGATCTAATGCTAACGACTTGAAAACACTACTTGCATTCATAATGTTTTATTCTAATGTGAATTCTCAGATGTATCCAAAGGGATGAGTGATAACTGGAGGCTTTCCTACCGTCCATACATTCATAGGGTTTCTCTCCATTATGTATTCACCTTTGCATAGGAAGTTAAGAACTACTACTGAAACATTTTTCACATTAATTATATGCGGAGTATTTCTCATGAATTCAGTATGAATTTTCTTGTGTTGACTAAGGTTAGATCTTGGATTGATTACATTCATTGAGTTTTTCTCTAAGGTGACTTCCCTCTATTTTTGCACAATTGGGTGACTTTTACCTGAAAATATCCTGTTTAAGATTTGACCCTTTGGTTTTAAGTAGAACCTACAAATCTGGAGAGGTGCTTGGAGCATTTCACCCTTTTATGTCACCCACTCATATTCTTTATCTAACCAGGAGATCAAACTGGGTTTGCTGAATTTGTGGCCAAATATTGTTTCTGTAGTTCTCCTATATCCTATTTCTGTACAGGTTTCACTGAGAAGGGTCCAACAGAGCCCACTTCTTCTGGGTGAGCTCCACAGTCTTATCTTTGAAGGTCACTGAGTCAGTCCTATGATTAGCTTGTCAGCAGCCTAGCAGCTAACCTTTCCTCCCTTGTATTTCCCATTTGGTGACAGAGAAGGTCCTGAGCAGACTGAGCATTAGTTGAAGACAGATAAACAACTGCCATCCCTTGAGTCTGACTGTAAATTTTTTTGAAATATAGACCAATGAAATATAGACCAATTATTTTTTAAGTTGGAAAGATAAGACATAAACATTCAGAGTAAAAGAATTTTATTTCTTATATTTGGGTAGTCCTTGTTTATCTACCATCACTGCTTCTAAACCTTTGCAATAGTTCTGTGATATTGGTAAGAAGGTATTATTAGCCTTTATTTTTATTTTTTAGTTAAGGAAGTCAGATCCAAAGATATTAAAGTATTTATCAATTTCATATAGCTGGGTTTTTTTTATTTTTTGGTTTTTTTGAGACAGAGTCTCAAAGATACAAAGATACTCCTCTTTTTGTGCTCACTGTCTGTTTGTAGCAGGATCTTAGACACTTTAGGTGGCATTTTCCCATTGAACTGTGATTTTTCAGATGAAGACAGTTTGAGCCTGGATCTTCAATAGCCTCTTGTCCTTTTTGTGTAAATATATCTATGTGTATATGTGTACGTATGTACAGTAACATAAATAACAGTGTTTATGAAAAATCATTTCCTGAAACAATAAAGTTGAATGAGAAGAATGGCATCATTTCTTACATTCGGGTATACCTGTATTTCTTAAATAATAAGACTTGAAATTTGAAATTATTCCTTGATCCATGGGCTGCAGCATGAATGTTGTGTCAGAAAGCATGAAAACAACATTCATCTCCTTATACATCTCCATTGGAGCTCTTGGGTGACCAGGTGCATTGTCAATGAGAAGTAATACTTCAAAAGGAATCTTTTTTTCTGAGCAGTAGGTCTTAGTAGTGGGCTTAAAATATTTAGTAAACCATGCTATAAATAGATGTGCTGTCATCCAGGCCTTGTTGTTCCATGTATAGAGAACAGGCAGAGTAGATTTAGCATAATTCTTAAGGATCCTAGAATTTTCAGAATTGTAAATGAGCATTGGCTTCAACTCAAGGTCACCAGCTACATTAGCCCCTAAAATGAAAGTCTATCCTTTGAAGCTTTGAAGCATGGCATCGACTTCTCTCCAGCTATGAAAGTCCTAGATGGCATCTTCTTCCAATATGAGGCTATTTCATCTATATTGAGATATTTTGTTTAGTGTAGCTACCTTCATCAAGTATCTAACTAGATCATCTGGATAACTAGTTATAGCTTCTATATCAGCACATTCTTTACCTTATGCTTTTGTGGTATGGAGATAGCTTCTTTCCTACAACCACTGGCCTGTGTGGCCAGCAAATGTAGCCAGACCAGGAGATCATACAAATGGGCAAAATCCTGCTCCATGTGGTTCTGCCTTTCCATATGGAAAGCCTTCCTTGGTGCACTGTTCCTGTGCTGATGTATTAGTTCCCTGCTCATGGAAATCTTCAGGATCACAGTACTCTGCCCTGATTTAAAGACTGGGAGAAGTTACAGTGAGTGACTATAGATACCCTTGAATCTGAACTGCGCTTATGGAGCTAAACTCTCCCCTGCTCTATAGTGGAGGTATATAAGAGGGAGAGGGTCAACCTTAGAGGAAAAGGGAACCTAGCACAGTAGTTAAGAACTCAGGCCTTAGAATTAAGTAGACTTAAGTTTGATTCCAAACTCTACCACTTGCTGGTGTGTGACCTCTTACAAGCTCTGTCATTTTCTGTAGTTGTCCTTCACAATTTGGCTTTAACCTACCTTTCCAGTCTCATCTCGCGCTACTTTCCTTCTCATTGTCTGCCCTCCCTGCCACCACCCACCTGTTTTCAACCAGATAAAACTACCTGAGAGCTTCTTAAAAGGTAAAAGCTCTGGCCCTATCCCAGACCCAATGAATCAAAATCTGCATGTTATGAATATCCTAGGGTACTTGATTTGCACATTAAAATTTAAGAAGCACTGGTCTAAGCTACTTAGTGGAGGATTGATTCATGGCAGAAACTATGTCATAGTCCAGCCTGTGATTTCTGAATATATAAAACTGCACTCTGGAAAAGTATGGTACACTTTGCAGTTTGAAATATTCTTTGAATTATTCCTAACTAAACTGTGTCCAAAATAAGTATCCTTGAGAAGCTACTTGGTCCCCTTCATTTCCAACCCTTTGAAATTCACCCTGCTTCTTTATCTTGATCTGGGAGTTTCTGAATCTATAGAAAGCCTCCTCACCAGGGAGGAACTTAAGCAGACTCAGTAAAATGCTTGCTATGTATTAATATAATGAAGGATATTGTTAGGTACAGCATGGGAAATAGAAGTTCAAAGACTACCTAGCTCTCAGGGACCTTTTTTTTAAGTTGGAAAGATAAGACATAAACATTCAGAGTAAAAGAATTTTATTTCTTATATTTGGGTAGTCCTTGTTTATCTACCATCACTGCTTCTAAACCTTTGCAATAGTTCTGTGATATTGGTAAGAAGGTATTATTAGCCTTTATTTTTATTTTTTAGATAAGGAAGTCAGATCCAAAGATATTAAAGTATTTATCAATTTCATATAGCTGGTTTTTTTTTTATTTTTTGGTTTTTTTGAGACAGAGTCTTACTCTGTCTCCTTGGGTAGAGTGCAGTGGCACCATCATAGCTCACTTCAACCTCAAACTCCTAGGCTCAAGGGATCATCCTGCCTCAAACCTCCCGACTAACTGGGACTATAGACATGTGCCATGATGCCCAGTTAATTTTTCTATTTTTAGTAGAGAAGGGTCTCATTCTTATTCAAGCTGGTCACGAACTCCTGAGCTCAGGTAATCCTCCCAGAGTTCTGGGATTACAGGCATGAGGCACTGTGCTCAGCCTCATATAGCTGTTAAAGAGCTAGGATATGTATCCATGTATTCCAGCTCCAAGTCCAATTATTTTTCTTTTTAAAAAATTATTGTGGCACATGGTACCCTTTAATACAAAGTTAATTTAAAGAAATAAAGAAACAGTATAGAAAAAATATAGAAATAAAAAGTCATATAGGATTGTGAAGTTATTGTGGTAGTTAAGAGGCAAGAAATTACTTGAAAGAGTTTTGGGACACCTCAGTGAAGAAACAGAATTTAGCAGGACCTTGAAAGATAAGGAGGATTTATATGGTCAGAGAAAGGGGATGGGCAATCCAAGAAGAGGATGGACAGCAGAAAAGTGCAAGCTATGTTCAAGAATAATGATGAGACGCAGGCGCGCATGGCGACAGGAGTTGTTTCCGGCCCTTTTGGTGGTCTGGGTTGGGGTGCTGGGGCGAAGAGAAAATGGAGACAATTTTGGAGCAGCAGCGGCGCTATCATGAGGAGAAGGAACGGCTTATGGACGTCATGGCCAAAGAGATGCTCACAAAGAAGTCCACGCTCCGGGATCAGATCAATTCTGACCACCGCACTCGAGCCATGCAAGATAGGTATATGGAGGTCAGTGGGAACCTGAGGGATTTGTATGACAATAAGGATGGGTTACGAAAGGAGGAGCTTAATGCTATTTCTGGACCCAATGAGTTTGCTGAATTCTATAATAGACTCAAGAAAATAAAGGAATTCCACAGGAAGCACCCAAATGAGATCTGTGTGCCAATGTCAGTGGAATTTGAGGAGCTCCTGAAGGCTCGAGAGAATCCAAGTGAAGAGGCGCAAAACTTGGTGGAGTTCACGGATGAAGAGGGATATGGTCGTTACCTTGATCTCCATGACTGTTACCTCAAGTACATTAACCTGAAGGCATCTGAGAAGCTAGATTATATCACATACCTGTCCATCTTCGATCAGTTATTTGACATTCCTAAAGAAAGGAAGAATGCAGAGTATAAAAGATACCTAGAGATACTGCTTGAGTACCTTCAGGATTACACAGATAGAGTGAAGCCCCTCCAAGATCAGAATGAACTTTTTGGGAAGATTCAGACTGAGTTTGAGAAGAAGTGGGACAATGGTACCTCCCCCTGGATGGCCGAAAGAGACAGCAGTGCCCTGACTCATGCTGGAGCCCATCTTGACCTCTCTGCATTCTCCTCCTGGGAGGAGTTGGCCTCCCTGGGTCTGGACAGATTGAAATCTGCACTCTTAGCTTTAGGCCTGAAATGTGGCGGGACTCTAGAAGAGCAAGCCCAGAGACTATTCAGCACCAAAGGAAAGTCCCTGGAGTCACTTGACACTTCTCTGTTCGCCAAAAATCCCAAATCAAAGGGCACCAAGCGAGACACCGAGAGAACAAACATTGCTTTTCTAGAAGCCCAGATCTATGAATATGTAGAGATTCTTGGGAACAGCGACATCTTACACCATGAAAATGTACAACAAGCAAGAAAGGACCAGGAGAAGAGCGAGAAGAGGAGGAGGAAGAGCAGATCAGTGAGAGTGAAAGTGAAGATGAAGAGAATGAGATCATTTACAACCCCAAAAACCTGCCCCTTGGCTGGGATGGCAAACCCATTCCCTACTGGCTGTATAAGCTTCATGGCCTAAACATCAACTACAACTGTGAAATCCGTGGAAACTACACCTACCGAGGACCCAAGGCCTTCCAAAGGCACTTTGCTGAATGGCGTCATGCTCACGGCATGAGATGTTTGGGCATCCCAAACACTGCCCACTTTGCTAATGTGACACAGATTGAAGATGCTGTCTCCTTGTGGGCCAAGCTGAAACTGCAGAAGGCTTCAGAGCGATGGCAGCCAGACACTGAGGAAGAATATGAAGACTCCAGTGGGAATGTTGTGAATAAGAAGACGTATGAGGATCTGAAAAGACAAGGACTGCTCTAGTGTTCAGGGATGTAGCTCATCTTTTGGGCTTGCCCAGGCTCCCCTGAGATCTGCATTTTCTATTTCCTTCAACCAAATGCTCAGAGACCCTTTACTATGTACTCTTATGGTCTAGCAGCATGCATCTTGTAGAAACAAGGCATGCTGACAAAAAGCAGGGTTGAGATGTGTTTTATCTTTGTTTTATATTTAAAAAGATTCTGCCAGAAAAAAAAAAAAAAGAATAATGATGAGATCAGTGTCCTTAGACGATTTGAAATCTGTTTGTTCCAATCCAATTGAATGAGGCATCTAAACTTCCCAGGTGTGACATTGATTCCCAGGGAATCAGTGTTTAGGGTAGAGGGACCACAGCACTTCCTTCTTTTGCTTCACGTTCTTGCACAAAATCCAGCATGCAGAATCAGAGAGATGTAACTGCAGACACCTAACTGGTGAGACTTACAGGTAGGAGTTTCTGGGCCGGATTGTGTTTCATGGACTGCCACATTTACTTTCTCCAGATATTGTATTGCTTGTTTCGAATGGTTGGGAGTAGCTTCTCTCACCTTAAGGGGATGTGGGTAGATGGTGTGCAAGACTGCAGAAAATCAGTGGACTTCAGAAAACGGTGGGGATCTACATCAGTAAATATGAGCTGGAGGTTACTTACGTGATTGTTAGGGGTGCACAAGCACTGAAGATTTGGGTGGGTTTAGACCTAAAAGGAAGTGGCGTTTGATTGGTTATTTGAAGTTAAAAAGGCCCCTTCCTGGGTGGGGTCTGCCAGCCGCATAATTAGAACCGGAAAAACTCTACTGGGCCCGCCTGCCTTTGTGACATAGCCCAGTCAGCCTCAGCTGTAGATCTTGCCTTGACTGGTGAGGCCCAAAGCCAGTGGCCCCGCGGAGGCGGGAGCCGGGCCATGGCTGAGGCGGCTGGGCCCAGTGGCGAATGCCAAGGCGCCGAAGTTAAAATCCAGCAGCCTGTGGCAAAACCTGTCAAGGGACCACTGAGGCGTGGCCCGCGCTCGGTGCTCAGAGTGTCTCAGCTGCTGCTCCGGGCCATCGCTGCGCACAAAGGGCTGACTTTGGCAGCCCTCAAGAAGGAACTTGGAAACGCTGGCTACGAAGTGCGCAGGAAGAGTGTCCGCCACCGGGGCGATACCTCCAAGTCCGAGGTGAAGGGCACGCTCCTTAGGGTCAGCGGCAGCGATGCCGCCGGCTACTTCAGGGTCAGGAAGATCCCGAAGCCGAAGAGAAAGTTGAGATGCTCAAGGTTGGAGGACGGTGTCGGGCCTCCGAGAAGGGGCCCACGGAGGCGTCGCGTGCAACGCAGGGCAGCCAAGAAGGCCAGAGACATATGGAGACGGAACGCGAGGCCAAACGAGAGGGCGAGGAGGGTGAGGCCAAGAGCCAAGGACCAGGTGCGTGTTGGAGCCAAGAAGGAAGCAAGGGCCAAAGTGGTGGACGAGAGGAGAGGACGAACCAAGAAGGAAGACCCCAGGCCTACATCAGGAGAGAAGAGGCCAAGCTCGAAGCCCAGGGAGGAGAAGCATGACCCGGAGAAGCCAGTGAAACGGACCATCCAGAAGCCAAGCCTGCTTAAGACCAACCGAACTTCCAGTTGTCAGGGAAAGACTCGCACAAAGACTTCCACTAAATCTGAAGGCCCTCGGAATGCAGTCCGGAATCCACAGCGGAATTTACAGCGTGGGAGCAGCTGCCCTTCCTCCAGGCACACATGCCTTTCCTCCCTAGGCTCGAAAAAGAGCAGCTCTCACACTCATTGAAAATGGACAAAACTATTTACAGGGCCTTTCCACCACATTGTGTGTCTGTTGCCTCTTTACCTCACCTGGAAGGGGAGGGGACGTGGGTGTTAAGGTGAGATGTGTGACAGGAGTATGTGGGAAGAGAGAAAAGGGAGCTGAGATTCTGTTCCCGCTGCAGGATCCAGAGAAATGTCTTTTAAAAGGAAAGAAAACAGGTAGAGGAAAACCAGCAATTTAACGGAGTTAGAAGTGTTGAAGTAATGTTAGACATTTTAGCAAATCCAAATTGAGTTTGGAAGAGGAGGGCATATTGGGGGAAGAGCAGACAACCTTTAAATTGAGTGGTCCCACGGATTCAAAGTGTTTGTACCCGAAATTCCTTTTAGGACAAAGTCCATTCTCCCAAAATTGATTATGATGAGTTTGTAGTTTTTGCCCTGAATTGATAACCTATTTTAAGGATATTCTTATATGTTAATCCTGAGTTAAATGATTGTGTGAAGGTATCTAGCACAGGGCTTGGCACAGGATAAGTACTCATCACTGAGAGTTAAATTCATGTATAAATAATTCCTGATGGGGTGGTAATGTGGTATAGCAGAAAATTATCCTGGATCAGAACTCAGTGAGAACAGGATTCTAGTCAAAGTTCTGCTACTCTGACCTTACCTGAGTTATTTCTTAACCATTTGTGGTCTTGGTTTATTTGCTATAAAATGTTGGGATTGGCCTAGGATGATTTTTAAGGTGATTTTAAGCATCAGTAAAGTGATAAGGGGGGCTTAAACATTATGGCATATACTTCATTCGACAAAATTCAACATAACAGAATTATCAACTGGGAAAGGGCCAACTCTTAGAGAGAAAATTAAGATTTACAGAATACATATCAGAAATACAAGGAGATGGGGAAGGCTAGATAATGAATACTTAGGTCTTTTGCTTTTCTTAACAACATGTATTGAGCACTATTTGCCAAGAATGGAACAACTGTATAATTTTTTTGAGTTCTGATTGCAATGATTAAGTGTGGGAGTACTCATGCCACAGGCCGACAAGACACAGAAATGGTTTCTAGGAAAGTAAAACATTAAAGTAGCTTTATCAGGGAAAGGATTAGCCGTTTCCAACTGAAGCCAAAGAAATGGGGAAAGTAGAAGCACCCGGGAAGTGCTTTTTATTCCTGCAAAGAGGTGAGAGTCAGTGGGAAGGTATTAGAACTACCTGGTAGTTTTTGCAGGTATAACTGACCAAGGTTTTCCCAAGGAGAGTCTTCTATTTTCAAGGGTGAACATAGTATGTATACTTAAAACAAAAAAAAACTTTAAGTGATGTTTATTTGCCCCCTCAAACCTTTAATTGAGAATCACTGTTTTAAGCCTATGCAAAGCCTTGTAACAGAAAAATGCTTGCAGTGTCTCATCTATGGATAATCTGAACATGAAATTTCCCCATGCTATAATTAAGTTTACCATGTGCTTGAATGTGAGTGGCAGAACGAAGCAAAACAGAATCAGAATAGGAAGGCATCTGAAAAGAGTAGTGAGGAAAATCAAACATTGTCTATTGAACACAATTAGACAAAGTTAATCACCTGCCCTTGTGATAGCCAGATGTATTGCCCCTTTATAGTCCTGGGATGTTTTAACCTAAAGAACCAGGAGGTCTAGAATCAGAAAGCCTTTTTCATCTAAGATAGGATGGGAATAACACTGGCAACAATTTTTGTAATTTCCTAGGAATCATCACACTTCTGTTTGTATTATGATGGTTTCTTCATTTCAAATTTTCATTCATTCAGCAAAACTTACCAAATTTATTAAGTGCCTACTGTGTGGAGGACCAGTGGCAAATAGGAGAGATCCAGACCCTGACCTTATATATATCTAACAATGGTCAATTCAGATTATTTTTCATTGATAAGCTTTAAGGTGGCTATACTGCAATGAAGTGTAAGAAATTACCTTATATCATTGGCAAGCTATCCGGATTATGCAGCTCATAATGCTACCTGGGTACTCTGTCAAAGGAATTTCCAAGAATAGCTAATCTCATCCCTAGTGTTAATTCATTAATGACTAAATACCTGCAAGATTCTGGGCCCTGTGCTGGGAATACCAAAATAGATAAAACAATATCCACTTTTTTGAGCTCACATTTGAATGGCGTATTTAGATATTTAACTTTAGTGAGAGCAAATGGAATGTCTCTGACATCAATTCTTTGCTTTCCTTTTACCTTAACTGCCTAGTACAGTGCTGATCAGATCATTATTGGATTTAAGAGTTGTAATGAACCTTAGATGCCCTCTAGCATCAAATATTCAATGGTCTTAAAAAAGTTAACTGAAATACAAATGGCCTTTAAAAATATGAAAAAGTCCAACTTAATAAGATAAATGCACATTAAAACTATACAAAACATTAAATACTAAAAAGATAGTATTTTTAATCAGATGGGCAAAAATTCAAATGTTTGAGAAACTACTCCATTGGTGAGGTTGTAGGGAAATAGGCACTCACATATAATGCTGATGGGAGTATATAGTAAATTATCCCAAACCCTAATGGGGGAAATTGGCTATCAAAACTATACAAATATCTTTCAGTCAAGGAGAACCACTTTTGGAAACTTTTAGATATTTATACATTTGTGAAACTGTGCCCAAGGTACTTAGTACAGCACTATATTAACAAAAAAATGAAAATAACCGAAATGTTATTAGGAGATGAGTTAAACAGTGAAGCTTCAGTGAAATAGAATGCAGCTATAAAAAGTGGGGGTTAATCTCTGTTATTATGACAAGTTTCCCTTTTTGCATAAAGAAATTCTAGAAGGATACATGAAAAAACTAAGCGGTTCTCTTTTGTGAAAAGATGTTGATGGGAATTGTAGGGGATAGATAGAAATGAGACACTTTACTATATCTTTTTTTGTATTTGCTTTCAGAACCCATATAAATTGTAACTTGTTCACAAGATAGAAACTTCCACATCATTGCCAATTATAGCTTTTTCATTTATAAGGTGGTTTGTACTTTTGCATGCAGTAATAATTCATCACACCATCAATCTCTAGGTCAGATTTTAGGTGAAAAAGCCAATGTTTAGAAAATACACAATTGGCCAGGCACAGTGGCTCACACCTGTAATCCTATCTCTCTGGGAGGCTGAGGTGGGAGGATTGCTCAAGGTCAGGAGTTCGAAACCAGCCCGAGCAAAAGCAAGACCCTATCTCTACTATAAATAGAAAGAAATGAATTGGCCAACTAATAAATATAGAAAAAATTAGCCAGGCATGGTGGCACATGCCTGTTGTCCCAGCTACTCAGGAAGCTGAGGCAGGAGGATTGCTTGAGCCCAGGACTTTGAGGTTGCTGTGAGCTAGGCTGACTCCATGGCACTCACTCTAGCCTGGGCAACAAAGTGAGACTCTGTCTCAAAAAAAAAAAAAAAGAAAAGAAAAGAAAATGCACAATTTAAAAATTGACTTTTAACTGCAAATCCAGTATTCTTTCCACTTTACTCCAGTTCTAGATGTCAAATGGGAGCCTCAACATCTGCTTATTCACTCCATATACCATCTTTTTTATATAAATGAAGGTCAGAAGTTTAGAATCCATTTCTCCACTGAGTGATTTAATGATTGAGGTTTCATGAGAGTGGAGTGTTCCCAAATTTTCAACCTGCTTTTTAGAACATGCAAACATCTCCATTTGCCAGTGGTCTCGTAGCAACAGATACTTCCTGTTCTTCCTCCTTCTCTGGAGAGCTCTAATGTGACAAGGCTCTCCAACTAAAGTGCCTAGGAAGGACAGAAAGACAGGTGGTTTGGGAAGTTTACATAGGGGCACTATGTTAGGGAAAGACTTAAAAAAAAGAAAGAATTTGGACGAGAGGAACTGAAGACAGAGGAGGTGTTAACCTGAGGACTTGGATGAGGCTGGGAAAGACATTTGTAGAAGGGTAGATAGAAGGATGTCAGGATTTCAAGTCTATGAGCTTACTGAGAAAACAGGCACCCCAATGAGCAATCACAATGGCTGTGTTTCTCCTTTCCCTTTTCTCAGTTCCCTTACTTCCTTCCCTATTTGTGTTGGAAAAGACCAGACTCCAAGTGGCTGGGGGGAAGAGAGAGTGAACACAAGAAAATAAGGAAACATTATGAAGTATAGAGGTGACAGAACAGCCAGGCTGGTGTAAGGAAAGCTGCAGAGGCACCCAGGGGTGGGGAACCTGTGGCCTTGGGGCCACCTGTGGGCTTTTAGATCCTTGAGTACGGCCTTTTGAATCCAAATTTTACAGAACAAATCCTTTTATTAAAAGGGGTGTAGCAGAGAAAGATGAAGCTTTTCTTGCCTCCTCTGGTGCTTAAAAAAGAACAATCTTGAAATCAGAAGGCCACAGGTTCCTCTGGAAGTTCCATGTTTTCTCCCACAACCATTTCCTCCCTGTCCTCTCAGCACTGAATACATCTAGCTGACGGGTTTCTGCCCTAATCCTATCTGTGCTTGCCTTATCTGGCTTGTGGGAAATATCCAGTTATTGCACACTTGCCTGGGGGGTCAAATCATAGTCACCACCACCACTTGGGGCTCCAGACTTGGGCTCAGTACTCCTAGCTCTCTGAAGAGCAGTGTGGGCATTTGCACCACCCTGAAACTAAGGGCCTTCTTAAACTGGCACCCTAGGCGCTCTCCCTAGTCAGGCCCTGCTCACCACTCTGTTGCTGAAGTGCTCCCTAGGAGTGGACCACCTGCCCAATCCAGCAGCGTCTCCAGGATGGATCAAGTCCCTGGCTCACTGGGAAGTAACTCATAGGGGCCAGGACTCCAGGAAAGAGACAGCCAGGCACAAACTGTTGTTTCTTAAGGTTTCTGTTTCAGGTAGTGAGACAAGGGGGCTCACTCAAGACTTCGCAATTTACCTCCCCTCCACTCTGTTGCAGGCTTTTTTATCTGCAGAGAAGAGCTGGGAATGGAGGGAAAAGAGAAAGAGAGGACCCAGAATCAGTGACACAGCCAACACGTCCTTTATTCAACAGACATGAACCATA